GAGTTATTATAATGAAACCATTAAAGAAGTTTAGAGGGGAAAATCACTCTTTGAGACGTGTAAGTTGTAGTTCTATCAAATGTGACACGTTAAATTCTTAACAGTATTAAGTAAATATAGCTCTCAGATAAATGTAGTGAAGTAAAAAGTGCAATATATTCCACCTCTTGTACTGTTGGCTATTAGTCATGTTTAAGGCTTCAGTCAGAGGGAGTTGGAATTTGAAATAAAACATGCATGTCAGTGGGATTCTTGATCCCTCTCACAGTCTTGACACTTTCCAGACATCAAACATGCAGAAATGAAAACTGCTGCTCCTTACTGGAATACATGCACGGCAAAGTTAAATGGTTAAGTAGTACTTGGATAAGGAAAATGAAAGATGCAGCAGATATTCAGTATGTGAAGCTTTTTATTTTTTTCCAGGCCTGAGTGTGATCCTGAGAGGACAGAGGATGTGAACCCTGAGGAACTGAGAGTCACTAGATAGCACAGTTTTCCTTTTACACAAGGGACCCACACCAGGAGATTTCCCACGCTTAGAGTGTAATATGCTGCTGCCGCTGCATTCCTCTCTTGTCTCTCTCTGTTCTTGCTCACTCATCTAATATGTTTATCATGAATCTTCTCCTTCTTTCTATCTCCTCTCCTACTGCCCGTCGTCTCCTTCTTTCACAACCTGCTCCTTCATTTCTGCTTTGTTACAACAACATAACGTACGGCACAGAAAATGTTTTTGTGGAGTATGAGGGGATGCGAGGGACATACCCCCCGGGGGTCCAGGCCACACTGAGGTGCGTCTGCATTGGGGAGATGCACAGCACATGTCCAGTCCTGGGGGAGATTCTGAGGAATGTGCACATTGGGTCATCTACTCCAGATCTGCTCTCGTCTTTACGGCCACCAAGGGGGGCGCGCCTCATCCTTAAGGAAACATGCAGAACAATGTGTGTTCTCGGCACCTATTTTAAACCCAAGGTCACTGGGGTTTAGTACAGCCATATGCGGTGAAGATGATCACGGCTCTTAAGAGTTCAGTCTTACTTATGATGAACATACAGTATGTCCTCTCTCCAGTACATTGGCTCTGTTAACAGGCTTTAACTGAGATTTAGGACAGGAAGTTTAATATTTCCTCTGTCCCATTTAGAGTCTAATGTTTTATTTGACTTCTTAGAGTTGTATTTTATAGTTTGATATTAAAGTAGCTGTTTACACCTCAAAAGGCATAAATTAAAAACTGTAAATTATCTTTATCTCCACCCTCACTTCCTGACCTTGGTCATTCAGGTTTCATGTTAGTCCTCTGGTCAAGATCTTTTTTATCATATCTAATTGAGATGTCCTTAAAAGGCCACAAGTGAGAAAAACAATGGAGAAAAGATGAGATCAGGACTGTGTGGTCAGGTTTATTTATAGCCTTTCACTGCCCCCTAGTGCTGTGAAAGAACTCCGCATTCAGGAAATCAGGTAGTCAGTTCTTTATCTAAAAAACTAAGATTCAAATCTGCTTTTAGCAAAAGTTTTCTTGCTAAAATTTTGCTTGATATTTACAGTGGGACAGTGGGTCCTAACCTTCTTGGCTTTTCAATAAAAAATGAAGTAATATGTATTCTTATAACTCCTATTGTACTTGATGGGACTGCACCATCCAAAGTGATATATTTTATAATGTTATGATATTAGTATTTAGATGTCACTGTGACAGCTGTGTTCTATAGGTATTTCACTATGAGATGCAATATTGTTAATTTCTGGTGTGTGTTCTTTTCTATTGAGAGTAGGTGTAAAGTTATTTGTGTTTTCCTCTTTCTCCTGTTCGGTTGAAACCAGAAGGTGTACCTGATATTCTGACTAAATAAAGGCTTTTACTTTAACTCCTCATCACAAGTGGCCTTAGTGTAGGCATAAATTGTGAGCAACCAAAAAGATGTTTCTTTTGATATATTTTTATTAGTTCGGAAAGCTTAACATATCAAGTATTTCACAAAATATCTGACTTTCTTTCTCATTTTTTTGTCTCTGTCATTACTTATTTGAATTCAGTATTTTGAGTTCCAAGATAACATGTCAGCATCTGTATTGCCAAATGGTTGTACAATGAGGTTCCAATGACTAATTAAATGTCCATCATTTTTAAATGTAGTTTAAAATCAAACCACCAGATGTCAGTGTCACTTCATGATTATACCATATACCACCTGCTACTGGTGTAAGTACAGCACATGTGCAAAATGGGGCCACAAGACATACAGAGACATGTTTTACTGTTATACATCTAAACTAATTGCTATTTAACACCCAGAATGCAATGATGATGATTTTATAACATGTAATAAATGTTACTATTCTGTGAAATCCTGTATCACTTTTTAGTCACTAAGAGAAACAAACGCACCATTGTGTTGAACCCGGTGGTCTTGTGTGAAAAAACGAACATGTATCTGTTTAAAAACCTTATTTCCGTGTCTAATGTTGGAAATAAAAGAGGAAAGAAATCTGTATGTAGTTCAGTTTTGTGTCCTGGTACAGTGTTCGTGTTCTAGAACACCCTACCCTGTGGAGTAAGGGTCAGCTGAGTGTTAGCTTGCAGCGCATTGAGTGTTATTTATGGGCATGAAAGTAACCTAGAATGACACAACTGTACTACTGTCCTTTGCACTCCTTTTGGAGTTTGCATAAAACTAGTGACTGCCTCAGTTTACCACTTCGACAGCAAGTGTTTAAATTACATTTCAATATTTATTAGACTGTTAATCACACTTTACCCAACTGGCTGAAACTGGCAGAGGCCCGGTGGTTTACCCTTTAAAAAAGGCATTTCTGATAGGACATACTATTTCAGTCAAAAGCAGTTCTAATGACATCAGCTAACAGTGGGGTTTGTGTTTGGTTTGTGGTTTAGAGTTTCTGGAAAGGAATATTAAGCTTGAATACTCTGAGAACCACAATTAAGTTTAGTGCACTTCCATTGAACTGGGGCGATGGTAGAAGTCTCTGAGAAAGATAAATCCAAATCTCAGCGAATAAAACCATCCAGTAAATTATCCTTACCAGAAAAACGAAAGAGAAAAAAAAGAGATCACTTCTCTGGAAAGTCTTGTCTCACAACACTCCTTGTAATTCCCAGCTGCTGCTCGACAACAGGGAATGAATGTGAACCACACTCTTTAGCTGAACTCGTTCTCCCTCCAAACTCATCAAATACTGCTGCTTCAAAATATGACACTGTAGGCTCTCCTCTAGCGTCATTTTCTGGACATGCAGGGCTTTGTGGTTGAGTTAGCAAGAATAGATATGCAATTTCTGTCTACACTTTTAATAAATAAATAATAATTCCTGAAATTGGGTGGTTAATGTTGTGAAGGGATTGCAGTGTGGTCAGGTTCAGGCACAAAAACTAGCCAACTAGCCACAAAAACTACTTGGTTTGGGTAGGTTTAGGAAAACGTAAATTACGTTTCGCAGTGGATGTAACTTTGGTACGTTACATAAGTTAACTTATGTACATTACTTAAAATAAATAGTTTACTTTTGGTTTCACAAGGGACACAAACTGCATTCTCCGGGGTTAAAGTCATGTGTTTGTTTGAACCATCCATCCACCCAGCCCACAAGCTCCATATGCTGACTTTCTCACTGTTTATACCACGCCACAAACTTTGATGGTGTGCACGTCCAGAAATTAAACAAGAGGGTTACATACAGCATCATATTTTGAAGCGGAAGACCACTGATCAAGGGGCAGTATTTGACAATGGGGAATTAAGACCATGCTGAAATAATTTTAACCATACTTTAACCATATGTAGTTTCTTAAACATTAACAGTGGCCGTATTAGTCGTTTTGCAGAAAAATGGGGCAGAGACTGAACGATAAAGTAAATGTATGGGCCATAAAACCAAAAGAATCAGCTTAAAGAGGCTAAAAGGGATATTGTAAAAACATATTTTCCTCCCCTCCCTATAAACCTATAATAATATACTATACACATAATGTATGCTTCTCAGATGTCCCCTGCAACTTTGTCCACAATATAATGTTACTTATACAGTAAAACCAGTATTACAGATGGTCATTGCTATGCTTAGATCTAGATAAAAAAATATATAAGGGTTACTATGGAGAGGGAGGCAGCATTTTGATTTTTGTTCATATGCATCAGGCCCGTGGACCAGCTGTTGTCCACCTGACACTAGGTCCACTCTATGCTGATGACATCTGAATACACAAAGTAGACATTCAGCCACATTCTGTACTCGCCTGCTGGTGAAATGCACTTTACCAAAGCAATCATAATGACAATAGTTAACATTTTAATGAGAACAAATTAGATAACCAGCATTATCACTGTGATCAACGTCATTATTACCTAACTAGACGGCTTTGGAGGGATTTGTTTTATCTCTCTGTTATGTCTTTTCTGCATGCTCTGTTTGCAGACTGCAGTGGTCATGCTCCAACCTGGTGGCAGCTTTGCTGTCATTTATTATCTGAAGTTGATGGCTAGTGCAAACAGTTGCTAAGGTCATAATAAGTTTTATTACTCTTCCTATTACGTTAATGCTGTCATATCATCTCTCTGTGCTTCCTGTTTGCTAGAAAGCTCTTTCTCATTCACACAATGTGGGACAAAAGCTCAGAGCAGTCAGTTGCTGTCATTGTCTGCGTTCTTTATGACACAGAGCAGAGCAGTTACCTAGGTGAATAACAGTTCTGCACAACATCACCCACAGACTGCCTCATGATAGAGAACAAATATATCAGTCATTTTTAAATCAGATAATCAGATCAGACTCCAGGTATTTGCAGAACTACATGCAAACTTCACCTGACTGTATGTTTACATTGGATGTTTAATCTATGTCACTGGGCTAAATGAGATACTTAAAATACCCTTGCTGCAGGCTCAAAGTGTCATAATAACTGAAATGTTAGTGCAACTGCATTATACATAAGTGTGTGGGTGTGCTCATCTTATATCTGAAAGGACAACACATTTTACTAGTTTTTCAAATAATTTAGTTTATTTGCTGGTAAGTAAAAAAAGAAAACAGTGATATAAATATTATCTTATAAATTAAATTGCACATTTTTCATCTTTGTTTGGTAAAAATGCAACAAATATATTACAGTCAAATAAATACAAATAAATACAAAATCATAAAGTATCCTACATGCCTGTTCACAAACAGTGTAAGAATCTGACAGAGGGACATTATATATCACAATCACAAAAATTTGCCTAATTGTAAAGAAAAGTGTTTTTCCCACTTCTCCTGCCCTTCTTTTTTGATTGTCTCAGTGTGATACACTTTCCCTTGACTTTGCTGTCCAAACATCATCTGTATTCACACAATCCACTTAAGGCATCAACTTCTCCTCCATTTTCCATTTCCCTTCAATCTGTCCATATCTTCGAATGGACAGAGCCAACAGAATGCGCTCATCCACTGCCGCTTTCTAGATCGTCACGATCTCTGTGTCTGCAACTGCGTCCAGCTTCATGATGCAGCACCTAACGCTATGCCTGTCTTGCCTTCTCAACCCTTAAGGCGACCGCTAACACTAACAATTCTCCATCAGCTCACGGAGAGATATTCACGCCTTCTTCTCCTGCCGGGGCGGCTTGGTGGCCTTGGCGCTTGGTTTGGCTTGGCACACTAGGTCCCTGTAGGCTGGAGAGCGGAGGAACCGAGGGTAGCAGTCTTTGGCCATGAGCATGTAGATCTTGTGCTGGGCCAGGTCGAAGCAAGAAGATGACAGCTCCAGCATGTTGGCTTTGGTGATATCACGAGTTTCGTGGTCAATGTTAATCTGGTAAAAGGGAACAAGAAGACAGAACCAGATTAGTCTCTTTTTGTCCAATTTAGAGAAACTAGTGTCTATACGTACAATGCCTAACTAGGCACATAAATTAAATTGGTTGGTTTTGGTGTAAAAAAGAAATGGTAAAATATATAGTTTTACAGTGCAGGTAGAAATGTGAGGAAGAAAAGGAAAGGGAGTTCATCTAATTTTATAAGATTTAGATTTGGTGCTTTCTTACCTCCCGGGGAGCGTCGCTGCCGATGAATTCATCATAGATCTTCTGGGCTTTGGCTGATAATTTGGCAGGAGATTTGGTACTCCTGTAATCCTCACAGGCAAAGTAGAACGCGATGTTCTCTTCGCTGAACTCGGATACCAGGAAGGCAGTGAAGGCACACAGTCCATCTGAGGAAAGAGAGGAAATTTGATTACTTATGGTACATAATTGTCCCGCAGGGGGTGCATGTGTCTGTAAGTGTAGCTATTATATGCCTTTACTGGCATTTACATGTGCTTTTTTGTGTGCAAATGTCTCAAAAATTGCAAATATCTAGATATTTACTTACATTTGCTGGACAAGAGTTTTTCAAAGGACTGTTTCCACCTAAGGCATTCCTCCATGGTTGGCCTGAAAATAGATGAAGCAAGGTTAGATTCAACCCAGACTTTTAAATAAGCACACAGTGACAATAAATGTAAAATAAATTGGTAATAATATATTAGTACAGAATGATGCTTACTTATTGTGCCCCATTTTGCAGCTGGATAGATTCCAGTTGGGTTTTTGCAGAATGCTTCCCAGCCTTGCTTTCAGCTCCTTGGCCCTGTGAGGCAAAGAAAACAGTTTAGACACATTTTTCCCAAGACCTTCATTGCATACTTATAAGCCATTTGCAAAATCTACACTGAGTACAAAGTCTTAATTTAGCACAACCTAGAACTTCTATTTTAGCTTCTCAAATGCTTACATGCAGATGCACACAGATAAAACAGCAGAGCTGTCTTCCATATCCTGTAATCCTAATCCCATGTGAATGTTTGCATGAAGCTTCATGTACCTTTCCAGGCAGCAGGTGGGCAGCGATGCTAGTCCTTTACACATAGCAGCAGGTTGGAGCTGGTAGGGGTAGTGTCTTGGTCGGGTGGTGGTTAAATATCCGTTTAGTAAAGCTCAGTAAGGAGCGAGATCTGAGTGTCTGAACAGAGCCGGAGCAGAGGTTTTATAGTCCAACCTCCCCTGCCTCTGATGTGTCATCAGCCTTCTCGGCCAATCACAGAGAGGTAAAGAGAGAGCAAGAGGCAGAGGGAGAGAGAGATAGGGAAAGACAGAGACAGGGAAGGAGGGAGGGAGTGAAAAACGGGGGAGTATATACAAGGACGAGGCTGGGAAATTACTGTAAAATGATGATGTTCTATGCTATGTTTTTCTTGCATGTCCCTGAAAACACCCCACAGTTAATCTTTAAGTGTTTGCATTCAACCTTCTCTTTCAAAACAACTTATTTGTGAGAATAAAAAATTTAATTTCATCCTGTGTCCAGGTGTTAGAATGGTGTCTAGAGTTGAAAATGCTGTATATATTTAGTGTTGTATGAGCTCACCAGCTACACAATACATCCTTGAAAATAATCTTAAACTTGGCACACGTGTACATTTCTCATAGTTTTCCTTATACACTGAAACAACAACACCCATTGAATGTCACTATTAAGTGACACCTTTGTCTTCTGATGTCATGTATTTGTCATATTTAGTCTTTTATTAGTTTTTTTCAAATACCAGTTAGCTTCAAAATTGTGTTTTGTCATCAATTACAGCCTTTTACAACACAGAGCTTGCCTCTGTATAAATGAAAGTTTCAGTCTATCGGTCTGTGTGTATGGTATAACCCAACAAGCCAATCCACTCATAACATCCTGTGTTGTCCTTTACTCATTTGTTCCTGCTTCATGTTCCTGCTCTGTACAAAAAAGGCATAATTGAAGAAACAGGCAGGTTGATAAAGGACCATTCTGGTGGTAAAAGCAATCAGACTCTTTATGGGCCTGATAAAAGTGTTAATTCCAGGGAATGCTGGAAAGGAAATGTGGTAATTCACTTTGTTTAATTATATTACTGTAAGCAAGCTGGATGTACAACCAACTACTCGACACAATAAAGCCGAGGCGGGACCGTTTCCCATATGGCAAGCTGCAGGTTTCTTATCTAGGATTTGTTTGTCATATAATTCAGATTAAAAAGGGACATTAGATTATTGGGACATTAGAGTCAATACCATTCTTCAGTCACATATTGCCTTAGATTATCTAACACATCACTTGCACTTACAGTGGACCCTAGTGGGCGTATTTCCAAATGAGAGAGGATTAAAGCAGTGATTCAACCGAAGTAATTAATAATAATCTGTTTTTGTAATCTGTACTTTTGAATTTGAAGGTCTTGTTTTTTTCAAGCTACACCAAGAGCCACCGGAGCCAATACAACATTAAAGGACCTCCAAACACTATTTTCCAAATGACAGTGGAAACATTGTATTGCACACGTTGCGTAAGTCTACAGCCATGGGCATTTCAGGGAATTGAGACCCAACAGGGCTGTGTGATAGATGAGATCAGCTCTATTCAAGGGAATGTTACACCCCTCTAATAAAAACATATGTTGTCATACGTCAGTGGTTTTATTAAGAAATGTGACATATATGTGTTACCGAATCATGTGGCTTTGATCACTTGTTTAAATGCTTAAAACAACCTTTGCAACAAGTGACCTTTCGCGGTTGTGTGGACGATGACTGGGCCCTCTCTGATGCAAATGTGGCAGTAGACTATTAGACGATTGAAAATAGATCGTTCTTCGCATTCCTTTCATCTTTCTTCCTTTAATCACCACGATCTTTTTGACCTTCAGTCACAATGTTTCGTTGCCAAAGCTTAGCAATCACTTACCATATAGGTCAAATAAGAAAAATTATATTAGTCATTTCCGAAACAGCTAGTCACATGGGTCGTTTTGAAACACACTGCCAAAATGAGGACTTACAAATCACCCTTAAAGCAGTTAGTCCAGACTATCCCTAGGCTAAAAAGGAAGCAGTACAAAGGGTGCTGCCTGTGATACACAAGCATTTAGCAAGAGCTCACAGTGTACCGAGACAACGCAGCGCTGATTAGGTTGAGTCAGTTAATGCAGAGTGGATGGCTCCGGCTAGGAGGAAACACAACTGCACATGGGATTACCTAACCTGTCCAGATTCATTGTGCTGGGGAAGATTTAATTGCACCATTTATTGCCAGGAAAGAGCAAATGTTTGCCCGAGAAGCCTGGGGGAACCCGGCCACCCACTCACCTACTCAGACGCTCACACTGTGATGTCAGCACACTTCTTTGTCATTGGGACTAACAAAGGCAAAGGACAACCGGAAACAGGAGAATACAAGTGCGAAGGTGTATAGCGTTGTTGAGCGAAAGCTGGGGAGTCGCTGTCCTTGAAGCTGGCTGTGCAGCACACGCACGCATCAAGTCTATCAAACTGGAAATAACACCTTACATCAGTATGGGCTCCAACCCTATTCTGTAACTCCAAATTAATTTGAAGACATGGGATCTAACAGGTCCTGAGAAACATGAATATACCACTGCTTTGCTACTAATATTTTTATTGCAACATTGGTTATCATCGTTTCAGACAGGTGAGATAAAGCTGTGACGCTTTAAAATCTTCTCGTTCCCAGAAAACCCCCCCCCTCCATGGAATGGAAATCTCTATCTGACATATAAGCAACAGAGAGTTTTATTGTTTGATCTGCCATCGTCTAGTGATGCCAATTGTTGCCCTTAGGAGAATATAGAGTACATCAGTTTCAAGGCATGACTGTCTAACCGTCCATGGGTTAATACGGTTAAATGGTTATCGACTCTCTGAATGACGAGCAGTGATGCTCTCAGTATTGAGGATGTATAGAGGCTTTTCTGAGAAAGCCCTGGACTGTCTTTGTCCTTGTTTTTAATCTTAGAAAGAGTCCTAGTTTGGGAGCTTTAACAATTACAAGTTGAAATCAGACTTAATACATACAATGCGCTACTTTAGACACATTTAGTGTTTGATCAAGAAAAATCTCACGTCTTTGTTGTCTATTGGTTCACCGTAATCATTTACTGGTAAAAGGCAATCATCTCTGTTAAAATATCTGTGTCTGTATTGAAGCTGTTCAAGGTAGTGGTTCATTTGGAAGGGACACATATACAGTTTTTGACAACAACTAAGAAGGTTTATAAAGCTGCAGTGCAAGTGCTTAGATTGTTTTATATTTATTTAACAAAAAAATAAATCTTTAACTTAACCACCACATTTAGCTCAGTCTTAACCTATACACTAACATAACTTACAACTTCACTTAATCAGTTGTATCAAATGTACAAATTGAGACGGATAAGGACACATTTTAACCTTTATGACAAGTCACTCTGGGTTTCAGTCTTATTATTGGAATCCTTCTCTGTGTCTGGGCTCAGCTGTCTGCAATCATTTGTTACCTGGTGGCATTGGGTTGAATGAAGCTATGGTCTCTGGCCAAGTAACCAGAAAGATGAGTAGCTGTAGCTGACAAAGTTCTACCTTTGTGAATGAAGATTCCTCTTCCAGGAATATAATTAACAAACAGCTATTCAACGGGTAAGCCGTAATAACAGCATCCCGTGTTCACATTTTTAACCCGGTCATGTTCTAAGGTGGCTCCTGGCATTTTTCCCCTCACAACAACACATTCTCTGGATCAACAGATAATGTGGCCTCATATCTTCGAAGCAAAATGAGGGCTTTGTTGCTAATGTGAATATCTTTCTTTTAGAATTGGTGAAGGAACAAAATACATTTGACACAGACACAGACAGAGATTCATTTGAATGTTGAGCTCTTTAACTGTCTGTCTGTATCAGTTGTGAGTATGACTGAAGGTGGGTCAAGGGAAAATCTTAGATTATTGATGTGCTGTTTTTTTAGAAACGCCTCAGACTAGTTATTTGCTCTGAATTTCAAATGGCCTTTATATTAGAACACTGCAAAAAAAACCTGACAATTTATCTTGAATGTGTCAAGTCTAAATACTGAATCGCACCAAGGAAACGCATCACCAGGCAATCCTGATAAACCAGAGGTGACATTTACCTGTATGAGTGAGTTTCAAATAAAAGGTCACATCTCACTCCTTGCTTGCTTCATCACCTCTGGGACAGAATTGAGGCCGAGGCCAGTTCAGGACACTTGCGTCTCAGGGCCCTACTTTACCTCGACCCACAATTCTATTCATATTATTTGCATTCGGAGTAAGCCCTTTTACCTCAGGATACCTGAAATTGGAAGTCTTTTTTCATCTCAGGCTGTCCATCTTGAGCATAGTGAAGAACTTTCCGTTTCATCTTGGCTCAGCTGGGATGGAGAGAAAAGTGCATCCTCGGCTCAGCGTGCTCCTTTCACAGTTCACCTCCGTCTAGGTTCTGCTACGGGGATAAGAAAGCAGAAGTGGGATCATCCTCTCTTCAGGGGATGTTGTTATGCCACCCTCCATATTGTCACTAAAAAAAAAAATACATTAAATCAGATAAGGTCCCTGATACCTCACTCTCACCCTGGTGCTGGTAACAGAGGAGCACAAAGCAAAAATACCACCAACAGGCAATAATAGTGAGTTATTTGATGGTAAATTACACCCTGATGGCAATTTGTTATTAGCCATCTTTCCTTCGGAGGTTGAGCACTTTTCTGTTAGCATAGAAAGTAGGCCAAGGAGCTGTGTAAAGTCCTCTTATGTGTATTAAATGATGAGCAGTTTTGGAACCAGAACTAGAATCTAACCCCATTTGTACCATACTTGTATCAGATAGGAAATTGGATCACACAAAAGAAATGCCCTCTCTCCTCTTAAAGATGCATTGTACAAATAAGTAAAATACATTCTTGATGGTGTATTATGTTAATGCAGGGGATTTATCCAGTATTACACATGTGGTGTGCAAAAACAGCTTTTGCTGCTTAAAACTAGCAAGGGGCATAATAGGTCCTTGACTTCTACCCGACATATTTCAAGGCCTTCTTCCGGACCCCCTCTTGGTTCTGCTGGAAAACTCCTGTAATTTGCATGGCCCTCTAACTTTATAATGAATAATCGTCATACACAGTTAGTCTGATTTCACCCATGTTGCTA